CATATCCAAGCTAACTCACGAGCCCTTGCCATCAAAAACATTCCCATTGCCCTAATCACCTTGAAACTGCACAAACAGGGGAACCCCTGCAGATTGAGTGCTATCTCTCAATCCCTTCGAGCATTCTTGTCCAAACCTGTTCCTCTACCTTCCTTACAACATATGCAAGCTAACCATGGCCTAAAACCTGACCTGTAGTCACCCTAACAGTTTCCACCATTTTCATTTTTTCCTTTTGCAGTTGAAGTTCCATAGCTTGATTCAGAAGCTCTCAAGACAAAGTAAGCATTGAAACAACATCCCTGGACCTCAAGGAAGCTTTTCCAATCATTACATTGCACTGAAAGTTCCTCATTCTCCACATAGAAGTTCAACTGCACAGGTAAAACTTTGAACTCGTATCTCTCTTATCATGCATCTTTAGTCTTAAGTTTGTGAAGAAACAAGGTTCTACTCATAGCCCTGAACATGTACATATCTTTACATTTCATTTCTTTTGCCTGAGTAGGGAGAATTTGTAGTTTAAAAATGGCAGAAAAATTAGGTTAGGATTTGGGGGAGGAGAAATTCTCCCTCATCTTAGAGAGTTAGGTCAAGTTCCATACATGGTTAGAACCGTCTCTTCATGCTGAACATTTGTTGTGTTATGAGTTTTTGCTAAAAAGCCAGGAATCAAGAGTTAGAAGAAGCTGAACATGGCGCGCGTTTTTTCAAATATTTTGTGCTGGAGGTTGAAGACAGTGATCATTGGGCTGGGCTTTTATGTTATTTCTCTTCACACCACTTAATTGCTATTACACCCCCTAAGCCCATTTGTCTTATTTTTAATTCTTTTTGACTTTTTCTTTTTTTGTTTGACTTGTTCATTTTTTCTCAGCATGTTAAAATTTTGAAAATATTTTTTCCATCTTTTTTTTTTGAATTTATGGCATATTTATTTGATTTATTTCTTTGTTTATACATAAAATATATACATATTAATATTTAGAATAAATATAAAAATAGTGTAAATACAATTTTTATCTTTTGTTTACATTCTGATAATAGTCCACATAAAAAAAATACTTTTTTATTACTATTTATTTTATTAAATATTTTCGCATATAATGCATATTTAAGAAATTAATATATGTATATATATATATATATGTTTATTAATATATTTAAGCTAAAAATAAAAATACTTGAATTTTTTTCATTTTTATTAATATTTGATACAAAAATACTCTTTTTCATAATATACTTCATTATTCTTATTTTTATAAATAATAAATAAATATTTGTATTAAATTAGATAATAATACATTTTCTTTTAAAATTAGGGTTTTTGCCCTAAATTCAAAATACTCCAAAAATAATATATTTTTATTTTCTTTTCTCTTTTACATAAATAATTTTTTTTTTCATATATATACAAAACATTTCTTTTGCACCTTGCATTCTTATTTAATTTTTTTTACATTGATTAATTTGCAAATATTCAAAATGATGTAATAATGTAGGTTTAAATTCTTGTCAATATCCCCATTTGAACATTTGTACCCCCCTTCCCATATTTGGTTTTGTAATAGCTTAGTAATTTTAATTTCGCACTTTATTGCTTTCTAATGATAATATGTTAGAATTAGGGTTTGTATGCGAAAAACGATAAAAATAGTTATGACCTAATCTCAAGATAAACAAGCATGAAAATGGACACACAAATCACACTTGCACCCCCTAGGGTATTCCACTTGTTGCCTTCAAATAAATGGGCCATATTGTATGTTGAACTTCTTTGGGCAAAGCAAACAATTTGAATGATCATAGTCCCTCGATAAAACTTTTCAAAACAAACAAAAACAAATGATCAAGTCCCTTAAAGAAAATTGCCCAAAGACATTTAACGCCGTTGCAATTATGGTCTAAACGATGACCCGCGCCTGTCCCTTTCACATCCTAACACAAGATTGTCCACCAAATACAATGGTGGAACAAACTTGTTAAAAGGGTTAAAACATAGCCATGATCTTTTGAGAAATTTAGGAGTAGATAAACTCTTAGTTACTTGAATCAAACTTGCAAAACAAAAACACTTGCCTATTTCAAAAGCCATACATCACTACACTTTCAAAACAACTTTAAAAAAAAAACAAATGAAAACCTTTTTCAAAAGACATACATCTTTGTATACATCCCCACATGGATCATTACAAAGGTTGCCACCACATTGACTTCTTTTCAAAAACATTTTTCAAAACCCACACACTCAAGCACCATTTAAAACAATTGAAAACAAAAGGCAAGTGATCTAAGCAAGTAACTAAGAGCCCATGGATAACCATGGATAGAAAGGGTGCTAATACCTTCCCTTTCTATAATCTACTCCCCGAACCCAAGAAAACATCTCAAAAGGTTTTTGCTGTGCTTTTTAACCTTTCCTTAGGATAAAATAAAAAGTAGGTGGCGACTCTTGCTAACCGCAACATTTGCGAATACAAACGCAAAACCCAAGTCAGTTCTCCCACCGTATCACACTCCGTCTTACCGAAAGGTGTGGTTAGCAAAGACCAAGGCGATTGAAAAGGTATATGGAAACTGGGAGGAGTCATACCAAGAACTTCCTCGCTACCTGAATGCACTCCAGACTTATTCTCTGGGTACTGTTTACATTTTGGAAATAGTGCTAGCATACACCCCGGATGGTAGTCAACTCAACAGAAATGGAATATTCAGTCGAGTGTTTTGAGCTTTTCAACCTTGCATCACATGGTTTGCATCATGTAAACTAATTATACAAACTAATGGGACTTGGTTGTATGGGAAATACAAAGGCACGCTACTGATGGCAGTTGCACAAGATGACAACAACAATATTTTCCCAATTGCCTTTACCGTAGTCGAGGGGGAGACTGGTGGTGTTTGGAGCTTTTTTCTCAAAAATCTGCGAACACACATGGCTCCTTAACCAGATCTCTGTTTGATCTCGGATAGACATGCATCCATTGAAAGTGCATACAATAATCCTGCAAACGGTTGGCATGACCCTCCTTCTACGTATGTCTATTGCGTTAGACATATCGTCCAAAATTTCACAAGGGAGATCAAAGACAAAACACTTAGGAAAGCGGTTATGAATGCGGGATATGCATTGACACAACCTACGTTCAAATATTATCGCAACGAGATCCGTTTGTCAAATCCGGAAGCCGGTAGGTGGGATCGACAATATTCCGGTAGAAAAATGGACTAGGTCATACGACAATGGCTAAAGATGGGGCCACATGACAACAAATCTAATTGAATTGATGAATGGGGGTATTCAAAGGCATACGAAACCTCCCGGTCACTGCTTTGGTTAAATCAACATATTTTAGGATGACTTCGTTGTTTGCCAAAAGAGGTGAAATGTGGAATGCGGTGTTACAATCTGGACAACTATGGAGTGAAAGCTGCATAAAGTACATTAAGGCAGAAAGTGTCAAAGCCAACATCCATATGGTTATACGGTTTGACTGACACATCCATAACTTCATTGTCAAAGAGACAATCGACCACAACGAGGGTCTGCCAAGACAAGAATATAGGATTATATTACCTTCTCGTTGGTGCGATTGTGGCAAGTTTCAAGCCTTTCGTATGCCTTGCTCTCATGTCATTGCCACGTGTGCCTATACTCATCAAGACGCGCTACAACTTCTGTCACACATTTACAAATCTGAAACGTTGCTCAACGTTTACAACAACAGCTTCCATTTGGTAGCAAAACCAGATTATTGGCTTGCATACGACGGCGAAATAGTATGACACAATGACCAAATGTGAAGGAATAAAAAGGGTCGTCCCAAAAGTAAGCGCATCACAACCGAAATGGACTCCATTGACAAGCTGGAAAGAAAGTGTGGTTTAGTCGTCAGGTCGGACACAATCACAAAAATTGTCCGAATCGGGCTACTGCCTCAACCACATAAAAATTATATTACATAAAATCTTTCCTTTATTATGTTGTAAACATTAGAGTTTTTCGTTAATAGTATTTGTTATAATAAACATTGCGCGAACAAGAAAAAAACACGATAATCTGTCTACGAAATTACAATCGTTAAAACAATTCATCTGACCCATGCATCATCAACATTACGTCGCTGTTTGTTTTGACTTCCTCCAACCAAACATTAGGTCTTCCTGTCGCAAGTGAAGTTGATGTTCGTCTTCGCTGGATCCTTCTAATTTTTCACCCTCCACGATGTCTACATCCAGCCATCGCATCAACTCCCGCTTCAGACGCTCCATAGAGTGAATGTGCCAGAATTTTATTTTCATCGGAGGTTTTGTGGCGGAGAAGATAACGTAACCATCTCTGGTAAAAATAATGGACGGTGTCATGACGCAAATAACAGAATAAAAAATAAGAAAACAATGCGAGAAAGTGTGAGAAATGACGGAGAAACAGATGAATTATTTATAAAAACAACATTTTGCCCTATGAGTCAAGTGAGATGGCGCCTCCTCTCACTTTTAAAGTGCATGCGCCATCTCACTTGGCTAAAAGAGAGAGGAGGCGTCAAGTGGGATGTCGCCTAAGACATAATGCTGAGTGGAGGCGCCAAGTGAGATGACTCCTTCTTTTGGGAGTCTTTTGAAACATGATTATTTACGGAAAAAAAATTTTAATACATAGTTATTCAAAAAAAAAAATCAATCCAGTTTGTGGGATCCTAAAAAATGGTATCCACTTTATTATTATCCAAATTCCCAATAGGAGTGTACCTGCTAACCAATTCGTGGGGAAAGTAAGATTAGATATGAGAACATTTAAATTCACAATTGTTGAGATGTTGAAAATTGAATCCTTTAGTTATGAGATGAGACTAATATCTTTGAATCTTTGACTTGTGTTGAACTCCTATAAAAAGCCATAATCAGCTGCTCCATTGTATACACTTCCCCTTCTTTGAGAAACTAAAACCATTATTGTTGATTTTATTTTATACTATCTATTACTACTAACATTTTGAACTATGGCAGACAATGTTGAAACTATAGTTGAAGTTGAAAACAACACTAAAGAAGAGGTTGTGGTTGCAGCTGAGGTCGGAAACAAGAGTGAAGGAGAGGTTGTAGTTGTAGCTGAAGCTGAAAACAACACTAAAGAAGATGTTGCCGCGGAAGATGAATCCAACATTTCAACTGAAGATTCTGAGAAAAATTCTGAGACTGATTTGAAGGTTGCTCCTGCACAAGAGGAAGATGACAAGAAGAATTAAGCTACTTTTAATAATATCTTATGGAATAAATAAGAATCAAACTTCTGAGTTTTGTTGGTCACTTTGCTGTTTATTCATAATGAAGTACTTTCCTTTGGTAATCTGCTTGCTTTACTATATTGACAATTTTTTCTTTATTGATATTTTATCTCTTTTATTTAAAAATAATTCATTTATATTATTTAAATTAATACCTACTATGCCTCCAAATAGAAGTCAATAGTGCTAATTGCATGTCATCACCACAGTTCAAATATAATGGGCTTTGCCCTTAGCAAATTAATGAAACGTTTATCATTCAGTTTACTTTTATTTGTTTTTCGTTAATAGCTTTTGTTTTTTTGTTGACCTATTCTTTTTTAGATTGATAAAATTGCAATGGAGTAGAGCATAATAGAATCAAATTAAGTCATTTTATTTAATTTTTTATATTGATAAAATGAAAATGGAATGAAGCTGAACATGAAATGCATTTCATTTAAATCCTTCATTGGAAGAATGATTTTAGTTGTTTGTGTCATATTTTGCTGAAGAGGATGCTCGTATGTTGACAGTCTGTTTGTTAATCTCCACTAATTAAAACGAAGTTATTTGACTTAGTTAACGTTGAGATTTTATTTTAATAAATAAGTGAAATAAATTTGTTACTTAAATCAAGTAATAAGTAATTTAGTTTTTTTTAGTTTAGCTAAAAGACTCGATTAATTTTAATATTTTAAAGAAAAAACACAAGAGTATTTTTGTATTTTAAAAATAATACACATTTCTCTCTTTTCTATTTTATTTATACCTCTCTTATACTAAATAATATATCAAATATATTATGTTTCTCATCTCCTTCTTTCTTATCATAATCTTTCTCACTTCTTTCTCTCTTTTGAGTTTAATCCCATAACCAAACACACTCTAGACACTAAAGAGACACTACAAAAAAATATCAAATTTAAAAGGTCAAAGTGTCACATAATAATCACCTCGGAGACCAATGTGCTTCTAAGATGTATTTCACCTCTCAAATCTCTCATTTTTAACACAAACCAAGACTCGTTACTCAAATATCTTTTTAGAATTTCCTTTCAATTTTTTCATCTAATTCATTTATTAAGGTACACATATAAAATTAATTATTTGTTATTTGATATTGAGTTGTATGAGCTGGTTTAAATTATGTCTTTTTTATTGAAGTTTGTATGATAAAAATAGTGATGGTTAGATTTGTATATAATATTCTAAAAATTTTATAATAAAATTTGTATGATATTGTGTATAATAATAGAATATAAGTTTTTCGTATATGTAAAATTGTTAGAAAATATTAATAATATTTTTTTATATAACAAAATTAAAATGATAAATATTCTGTTTTTAAATTTGTTAATAATAATTTTTTTGCATTTTTTTTCAAAATAAATAAATTTTTTTTCTTCGTTTTTTTCCAGAAATAAATAAATTTAGAATATTTGTATTATATTTCCCAAAACAGAATAATATATATATATATATATATATATATATATATATATATATATATATATATATATATATATATATATATATATATATATATATATATATATATATATATTCCAAATTTCATGCAAAAATGTATAATATATAAAAAATCCTCATATCCTTCAAAGAATGCTCATATCAAGTTTCATGCTTTGCATCACAATTTTGCTTAATCAATTGCTCAGATGATGGAAAATTAACTGTATAGGGTAAAAAGTCAATTGTGGTTAATATAAAGTCAAATTTCAATATTTTTGGTCAACATCAACATTTTGAAGTGATATTCATCACTTGATCAAGGGTTGATCATGATTTATCAAGAGATTGCTCAAAAGTCAAAAGTTGATAAATTAGGGTTTTGACCATTTACTTAGGAGAAGTCAACTAAACTTTGACCAAACATAACTTTCACATGCTTCATTAGAAATGACTCAACCAAAACCTATTTTGAAGGAAATTCAATTTCCTACAATTTTGTCTCTCTTAGCTCAAATTCAAAAAATGCTTCATTTGAGAGACATGGGCCAAAATATTACAAGTCATTTCAAAAGTCAACAAAAAGACACTTTTCGTCAAGGCAATTTACATCAAGATAAATTCTTCAAATGCAAAAATGATTGATATAGAGAATGTAAAGGACATCTTGATTTTTCCAAAAAGTCCAATATCAACTTCAAAAGATAAAAAAGGGGATGAAGCTAAACATGAGACTCCTTTAATCCAATTCTCATTGGAAGAATTACCTTTATTTGTTTGTGTTATATTTTGGGTGTCTAAATGACCACGATGAATTTAAAAAAATTCATAAATAATTTTAATCAATTTTATTTCAATTGTGATTATAAATAATCATTCTAAAATTAATTCAACCAATTTATATTTTTACACATTAAGTTTTAATTAAATTTAGAGAAATTTTATGAGATCAATATACTTGAATGGAACGAACTAGTGTCTTCTCATGTTTAATACCACTACTATACTTAATGGAGGAGGCAACGAACCACATTTTTTATCAAACTGAATTAAATCTTAATGAATGGAAGAGTCGACAATGTAAGATGATTTTTCTTTTTATTTGTGAATTTTTTGTACACTTTTTATGATTGGACGTTATATTTAAACATATAATGATATTTTTGGAGATACATCTCTGAAATAATCTGATTTGATTCTTTCGGAAGTGCATTTCTGAAATCCTGGATAGTGATATTTTTTTTAAATACTAAATGTGTTGATAAATAATTAGTTCAAAACGATAATAAAAATGCAATTTAAAAATGATAAGAAATAATCAATTGTTAGTTGGTTCAGTGGTGATTGGTGCCGGACTTGGTAGGGAGGACCACAGTTTGATCCCCGCAACTACGATCGGGAAATGACTAGAATCACTTGATGTCATAACTGACCCTCAAACCGGACTATACCGGTGGTGAAAAAAATGATAAGACATAAATAACGATAATAGACCGAATAAGTTGTTGAACATTAAAAAAAATAATACAACAATTTTTTTATAAATTGTTAAAAAAAAGCATAAAAAAAGCATAGCCTACTGTGTATGCCTGATCCTACTCTCTGGCCCCTCCTCTGTCTACTGTATCACGCCACACTCTTTGCCTCTCCAACCATCCGCTCTATAGTGGTCACCTCCTCAGGACCACCCTGCTCAAGGATACTTTTGTCGAAAGCCTCCCGCCCAATCATCTGTATCCGGTGACATATAGGAAACAGATCAATGGCATGGTCATCCTAGACCTACTGATTCTCTAAGATCTTCTCATGAGCTGGCTTAGGTGGACATCCATGAGCATCTAGTGTCATGACAAGAAGTGACACTGTAGAACCATGTCACATATCCCTCAACATAGTGCCAATTGTCGGTCTCCTGCATCATTCGACCCTCCTCAGGCACCATATGATTCTCCCAATCTTGAAAGATGTCATCGAGCTTATGACGGACAATGGTTCCAGGAGCAGCCTGAAAGAGAGATCTGAGTATGGTCTACACATAGCCAAACTACTGCATGCATCGCTCTGGTATATACCTGACCATAGTGTTAGTCCCACATGCCATCCACCTAAAGTACAATGACATGGGATCGAATAAGATAATCTCACGGTGACCCTCGAACGGCGTCCATTGGATGTCATCGTGGATAGTCCTATCCAGATACACCTGGAAAGGCAGCACAACCTGGTTCCCTCCTTAGGGGGCATACCAAGCAGCCCACGACATGACCTCACTATAATCCTGAGCATAATCGAAACAATGGATGCGGTGGAAGTGATAAATGATCCATCCCTGAAAAATGAATAAGATTCATGTAAGAACAAATTATAGTTATAAATAGTTAATTAAATTTAATAGTTGAAATGATAAATACCGTCAGCAGTGTAGCAGAGCCTGTCAGCTGTCGTGTTTTCCAGTTAGAGGCTTCATTCGGATTTTGGTACATGTATACCAAACAGCCAGCCCCCTAGCTCGAACCTCTCACCCTATCTAAATCCATAAAGTACTGGGTATATGCTACATCCACGTAGTTGGCGCTTTTGTCCATAAAAATGGACGTGTCAACCAAGAACATGAAGTAAGAGCATGATTATCAGTAGGATTTAAACGTTCCTACACTATTTTTAATACCACCCTGTCAGAAAACAATATGTAATTGGAAAAATAAATTATTCGTCAATTAGCCAACGTTGTCACAGTAAACACCGCTTCTACAACTATTTCCTTCTTTCCCTTTTAATTTTTTAATAAAAAAGTACCAAAATTAATATAGATGTGTGGTATATTATGGGTTTGGTGGGATCTAATTTAAGTTTTTGAAGGGTTTGATGGATATTTGAAAAAATATCGTGGAGTTGTTTAAATAATTAGAAAGAATGAAATAATATAAAATATTAAGTAGGATCATTTAAAGAACTCAAATGAGTATAATGGATGTGGATGCTCTAACACTTAGGACCCGATCCAATATAATGTGAGGCTTAAGGCGACTATTAAAACGAGGATTTTTTGTTCACCTATTATAATTAAATATTTGATTTTTAGAAAAAGTTTCAAGATATTTTAGGATCAAATTTTTTGATATCTATTATGAAATTAATGTTAATTTTGGTAGGTAAGTATTTATATTTTTTTATCAAGGTTGAATTATCTTTCAAAATATAAAATTGAATACGAAATTCTCTTTATATGATACATCATGTTGTCAACTCTTACATATTATGTTGATTAAACAAAAATCTTTGTATTTTTTAAATCTTTTATATGAGCAAGAGTAACACAAGTAAAAATGAATTTTACAAAATTAAAAATAAAAATTATTTAAATAGTAAATTTTATAATTATCAATAATTATTTAAATTAAAATTATGAAAAATATAATTTATGATTATATATAAAATTAAAATGGTGAGAAATATATTTAAATTAAATATGAAATTGATATTATGATTATATAAATAAAAATAATTTATTC